TGGTGACGGATGGCCGCCGCCGGGCGTGAGAAGAAGAGCAAGTCCGGGGTAGAGACGACGCTGACAGCGATGAGGACGACAGTGACAAACAGGATGGTTACGGCGAGGTTCGCGGAGCCCTTACGAGGCAGCGCTCACGTGTTCCACGCCCTTGAGCCTCATGAGGATCCGCTGAAGTAGAGACTCTTTCTGTCCTCATCATATGGACCAGAACACGGAGACCCAGAGAAGCTGTGAGGTGGCCCAAGTCGCCTGGCTGGCGTGTGGAACAGCCGAGGACAGTCAGACTTGAAGAGCCACGTTCTTGACCACAGGTGGTGGTGTCCCTGGGGTTTTGGTGTGGGTTGGCCACCGCTCCCTCACCCCGAGGAAACGCAAGGGGGAAGATGATCGGTGGTGTGGAGGACGACAAATTGGGTTGAGCACCAGCTGAGCTGGATGGGGGTGCTGTGGATTATTCTATGACTAGCAGCGGGCATCTGCTAGTCACGAGGGCAACTCCGGAGGTGTAGACTCAGAGGCGTCAGCCGACAGATAGCAGTTGGTAGTCATAGGGATGAACGAGACATCCCAGAGAGCATGAGTGTGAGGACAGAAAAGGCCAGAGGGGGACGAGGGTACACCACAGAACCAAAGGTGTCCTTTGGATGCGGCCGTCTGGGGGTCACTGGAAGCTTGGTGAGGGCGGGGCCATCGTCAGGGTAAGAAAGAAATGCAGTGATTAGGGGAGAGGCAGATCTATTGTAAGCACCTGGCTGTACAAAGCCAAGGGAGGAGGAAGGGCCACCGGAAGGGGTCAGGGCTCTAGAAAGCTATGTTTTCTTTCTTTCAATTGTTAAGATGAGAGAGATTTTTAAAAAATGTTTATTTTGGGGACGTCGGGGTGGCTCAGTCGGTTAAGCGTCCGACTTCGGCTCAGTTCGTGATCTCACGGTCCGTGGGTTCGAGCCCCGCGACGGGCTCTGTGCTGACAGCTCGGAGCCTGGAGCCCGCTTCGGATTCTGTGTCTCCCTCTCTCTCTGCTCCTCCCCCACTCATGCTCTGTCTCTCTCTCAAAGATAAATAAACATTAAAAAAAATGTTTATTTTTGAGACAGCAGAAGCAGGGGCGGTGCAGAGAGAGGGGGACAGAAGATCCAAAGGAGGCTCCACGCTGCCGGCACAGAGCCCGAGGCGGGGCTCGAACTCACTACTCGGGAGAGCATGACCTGAGCAGAAGTCGGACGCTCAACCTCCTGAGTCATCCACGTGCCCCAAGATGAGAGGGATTTGCAAGAGTTCTAGGCTAGTGGGACGGAAGCAGTAGAAAGGATATTTGATAATGGATGGGCAAGGGAAGAGGTGAGGGGGCCCCCATCGTTGAGACAGCCGGAGGGCTGAGTGAGGGCATTGGCCTTCCAAACGAACGTGGACGCCACTCTTAAGTTCGGAGAAAAATGCAGGCTTGAATCCACCTTGAACAGGACCCAGGGGCTTCAGATAAACACAGGACTTGGCCAAGGGCTCCAGGTACTGTGCTCTGAACCCATGGCCACATTTGCACGGAGGCCACACTTCCCACGGGCTGCTTGCAGCCAGACTGAGGGTAGCAGGGATACGACCCCCAGGGAACCCACTCCTGGGAGAGGGGCGACTGCTCTGCTGGCTGACCTGGGTTAGAGACCGCCCCCCAGGGGCCTTGCCCCAACCTTCCCCAGACCACACGGCAGTCTCGGATTCTCTCACGCAACCTTCCCTCCTTCTCTCCTTCACTAGGAGGTCAGATCTGCATGCCGTCTGCCGGCTCCCCCAGGCTCCCTGGCTCCCTCCTGTTTCCTCTCCGACAGTACGGTCTCTCTTCATAACACCCTCGCACATTTAGTCCTTTCGGTATCTGCTTTGGGCGCCAGTGGAGAAAATCAGAAAGGCTGCGCTCGGGGAACTCAGAAGCCTCGGCAAGGCCATGTGGGGCTGAGTGTGGCAGCAGAGTCTGGCCAGATGAGACCATGTGAGGACAGGCGAGAAGGCAGACAAGCTGAGCAGGGGTCGGGGGTGGGGGGGCGGTGGTGGTGGGGGGTGAGTCCCAGGGGTTCCCACCAGTTCTCTGAGGGCAGAAAGTGAGGTCGGCTACCGTAGCCACGATGAGTCGTGGGGTGGCATCCTGCAAAGTGGGGGTTCAGAAGGGTGACCACGAGGGAAGACAAAGCCCACAGAGGTTGTAATGCAAGGTGAGAGGGAAGGATGGAGAAGTCGCAGGCGTGGGAAGACGTTTCAGGACCCTGCTGGCCTCGAGAGAGTCTCTGGATTTTATACTAGCTGCTACCGGAGGGTTCTGAGCTGGGACACACACCCGCTGGTGGCTCCCTCCTCTTGATCCCCCTGAAGCAGGGACGTGGAGTCCTCCCCCGACAGAGGGGTCAGAAGGGAGAGGGGAGCATGCTTTTATCTACTGGAAGGGCAGATAAAAGAGGTGAGGAGGTGAAAAGATTAATTACAAAAACCTGACTCAAAAAAAACCACAACAACTCTGCACGTTTAAGAAAGAAAGAAGCTGAAATTCATTCTACTTTGAGCCCTGGCTGTTAAGACTTATCTTTGACAGTATTTTTAAGCAATCATTGCATTTAATTTTTGAAAAAATGTTAACGTTTTATTTGAGAGAGAGAGAGAGAGAGAGAGGGAGAGCATGAGCAGGGGAGGGGTAGAGAAAGAGGGAGACACAGAATCCCAAGCAGGCTCCAGGCTCCGAGCTGTCAGCACAGAGCCCGACACGGGGCCCGAACTCGTGAACTGTGACATCACGACCTGAGCTGAAGTCGGACGCTCAACCGACTGAGCCAC